GCACGGTCGGGACTGCCGCTTAAAATCTGCAGAGAAGAACTGGCCCTTCCAAGTTGCCTCGACTCCCACCAGGTGCAGCCGCAGCGCCGCGGGGATTGTCCCCGAGGCGGTGCGCAGGGCGCGGCGCGGCGGGGAGGCCGACGGGTGGTGCGGCGACCCGCGACCCCGACTTCGCGGTCGCCCGTCAGGAGTTCAGCGTCCTTTTCGGCGGGGAAGCGTCTGTCCCGCAAGAATATTGAAGAGGGAAAGCCGCTCTTTAAAGTGGATTAGGGTGGGAGGATTGAGGAAAGTTTGTGTATTTGTGACGCTTTTCTTGAACTGATCTCTTAATGAATTGATCTCTCTCACTGTCTCTCAACTTAAAAGAGTTCACTGCCTGTTTTTTAGACCTCTAAATTCTGTTTTTAGACCTCTAAAGTTCAAATTCTTATTTCTCAATTAGTGCGTGTAAGCCATCACCCGGTTACTACAGTTGGTACCTTATCTTCACAAGAAGGTATGTAAGTGAACTGCAATTATTCCTGTCTTCAACCAGTGAAGAAGGACTGTAAGATGAGAATTTAGGGAAAGGGTTCTTGCCTGGGCTCCGGTATTGGAGCCCTGTTAAGTTTTACATTTCCAGACTATTGAATTCCCTGCTGCAAAGTCAGGGATGGCAGCCAATCAAAAAACACCTACTTGGCATCTTTATACACTTGATGGAATATTTTTATAACTGCAGCACTTGTTGCTTTGCATGCTGTAGGCGTTTAGTGAATAAGTTTTGAGGAAACTGTTGGGACTCAATGGCCCGAAGTCCAAGTTTGTATTATGTAGATGCAAAAATATAAAGGAGCTGACAGCAAAAGCAAGATTAACATTCCTGAGAGCATAGGTTTTATTTGTGTAAATGTAACTACCAAATTTTAATAACTCAACATGCATTAATGCACTTTTGCACTAAGAAAATGTCAAGGTTTTGGGCAAAGGGTTTCATACACTGGGCAACAATGATAGGAAATCTAAGATGTGCTCCAGAATCAATTTCTTTGGAGTTTAAAGTGGTCCAAAGAACGTTTTGTCAATAAAATAGTTCATTAGCTCAGCATAAATCAGTCAAGGATAAAGGAACATTACTTAGTAAGCTGCAAGTATGGAAAAAAGAGACTCTGTAAATAGTAATAGCTGCCAAATTTTTACAATTGTGTTTTTAATTATATTTAAAAATATGTTTTAAAAAGTTTTACATTTATTTATTTTTAGGACAGGGTGCACAGGGTCTCACTGCGTAGACCGAACTGTAGTGATCATCCTGTTTACTGCCTCCCAAGTGCTGGGATTAGGGGATCAAATTCCTGGCCATCGAACTCCTGGCCGCTGTGTCTGACTAAGCAGGCACTTTTATCTGCTGAAACTATTTGGCCGGCCCTAGAAAAGTTTTTAAATTATATTGATTCCACGGTAAGTTAAAAAATACCTTTATATCTGCCATGTATCAATAAATTCATAATCCAGTTACTAAATCGGCCTCAAGTTGAAACTCACAATCTGATGGTAGATATCTATATAAATTAGGATTTTTGGGCCGGCCAAATAGCTCAGCGGATTAATGTGCCTGCGAGCAGACTCAGGGACCAGCTGGATCTGCTGTGCTGGCCCTGCTCCCGGGACTCATAGAGGGCTATTGAGACTGGGTGTGGTGGGTACGCGCCTGTAATCCCAGCTCTTGGGAGGCTGTGCGTTGGAGGATCACAAGTCCCATCTAGTAGTAAGACCCTGAACACCCTGTAGATCCTTCCCTAAAAAAAATACAGAAAAAAAAAGGATTTTCTTAGTTTCAATTTATTGCATTATATCCTTACATTGATCATATAGGACAGTGTGTATATTATTTATCATGTAGTATGGTTTATGTATTATTGCAGTAGCAGTGCCATTATAGAAGGTCGCCTGCTTGAATTTTAAAACTATGTGAGCTTTCACAGCTGGTGTTTATCTCAGGACATTATGGTGACAAAATATAAGGTCTTGCTATTAACGATTTGCTGATATGTGGCCCCAGTCGCATTTTCTACCTGTAGGTCCTGGTACTTTTCCCTTTTATTTCTCCTTTCATTGGTCTATTTCTTCAAATTAAATACTGATTTCTTTCCCCAAAACTTTATTCCATCGATGATTTTTTTCTTTTTTCTGTATTTTGTTAGGACTTCTTTACTCTTCACATGTTTGCATTCAATTATCCAGTAAAGAAACATTTCTTCCTATGTCCAGATTCTGTACTAAAATTAATATATAGTAGCTGAAGTCCTTTTTTTGTCTACTATATCTTAATGTCCATAGACTTCTTAAGTGGATCATTATTTTTAATCCATAGAATATCATAGCTGTTACCCTATTATTATTTATAGATGGGAAACAAAAGTAAAAGTTTCCTTTGCTTGGGATCAGAGAGCTAGAAAGTGGTGAGGTTGGCATATAAATGTAAGTGGCTTGAGTTCACAACTTCTAATTTATGTACATTCCTTCTTCACATGCCTTTTTAAATACATCTGTGTCTTACAGGTTTAACTAGGCTGTATTGTTTGATTGCAGGCTGTATTCTGATCTCAGATACAACTTTCTGTTAGATGTATTTCCCCCAAACTAAATGCGCTTCTGCTTTGTGGCAGAAGGGGCCTTCGCTGCACCAGTCTCTGAAAGGGAATTTCTTAGCAGCGGTAGTGTTTGTACTCCTTTTCTTTCTGAGCACATCTGAATAAGCGGACTTAGCTTTCAGCACCACTTACCTCGCAGGGTGATTCTCGGTGTTAGCTGAGAAGGGACAGCCTTTAAAGCTCCTGAAGTACAAGATTGCAAGATTATTTGAATTGGTCAGAGATAGGGTTTGGCTAAAGGTATTTTTTTTTTTAAATCCTTAGGTGATTGTGTGTGTGTGTGTGTGTGTGTGTGTGTGTGTGTGTCTGTGTGAATAATTGAGTTTTATAGTGCTTTTTTTTTGGTATCAGGGATTGAACTGAGGACCTTGCACTTGCCAGGCAGGCACTTACGCCGCTGAGCTATCTCGTCAGCCCTTGAGTACGTTACCCAAACTACCCTCCAAGTCTTGGGCTCAAGTAATCCTCTTCCCTCAGTTTCCTATGAGGAGCTGGCACTGTAGACTCCTTGAGTGATTCGGATGGCCTGGACACTGCTAGTCTTCGCTACAGCAGCTACCGGCACACATGCTGTGACTTGGGGAAAAGTCGCTAGTCCAAAATGAGCTGCGCTGTGCATTACCGCATACTCCGGGTTTAAAACTCAGTGGAAGAGTGAAACTATCCCTTTAAGTTTTATATTGATACAAGTCACAGGGATAATATAGAAGTTATATAAAGTTAAATAAAAATTGTAGACAAGGCACTTTCTAATTTTTATTCTCACTATAGTTACTAGGAAATTAAAAATCACGAGGAGATTTAAAATCACCTGCATAGATCACAGTATTTTATTGGACAGTGTTCCCCTAGCCTGAAAGTAGATCTGTGAACAGCACTTCTAGGACTTGAAAAATGTTATTTTCTACAATAAACACTTATAAATAGGTCATTATAATCATCTCAGGGGAAAGGTTGCTGTAGGCTAACAAATGGGCCCCTGCCCGAAGTAAAAGTCACGGAGGCACATGATCCCTAGAGCCAGAGGTTGTGGTGTGCAGAGTTGGCAAACCTGTTATAGAGAATAGCCCGTTCTAGCTCTCTGCACACTGGTAGCTGCTGCCTCCGAATGCACACGTAAGAGTCGCTTCACGTGGCTTAGCTGTAACATTTACACAGGGATGATGCTGATCCGCGAAGACATATCCGTGCTTTAGTGGGTCATTTATAGCTTATGTTCCATTATGTGGCATAGTGCAGTTGATTTTTTGTGTAGTCCCTTATTAATGAGTATTTGTATTTTGCCTTGAAAATAGGATGGTTTTTTTTTTTTTTTTTTTTTTTTTTTTTTGGTTGTTGTTGTTTAAAAATTGTATTTTCTGAAACATTCTAGATTTTTTTAGAAACAAAGTCATCCTTTCACATCATAGGGATTTGATTTGATATGGAATTTAATGTCACTTTAGTTGTCTGTTCTATTAAGACACCTAACTTTTATTTTTTAAAAAAAATGTCTTTGATAACCTCTTTTCCATTGGTAGATACTGCCTAGGTAGCTATGTAGCCTGTTCACTGGGAAATGTTTTTTTGTTGTTCAGAATTTTCCCAAGCTGTTAACTGTTACATTCTGTGGCATGGTTGTGGGGAAAATAGTTGTCTAGGGCCTTTGTTTATTCTCATAAACTGCTTCTTGCCCATACTCACTCGGGCTACTGCTTTTCTTAAAAAAGCATATTCTTTATGTGCCCAAACAAAATTTCAGTTTTCCTAATTTAACCTTGAGTTGTTTTCTGTTGCTTTTTTCTTTTCTTTTCTTT